CTACTATTTATAGCGCTTTGAGATTGTAGGACACAATAATTTGTAAAGAAAATTTAGAATAATGTTGCTTTTTAAATAATGCCCAGTCTGTCTATGATAATGTTACTATTCATGATACAATCAATAAAATCGTTACTTTTTATTGTTATTATAATTATCTTTTATTATTAACATAATTATATTATCAATTTTATATTATTTGAAATATTTTATGCTCTTATTATATTTACCTATTACGTTTTTATTAAGAAAATTAAAATGCCAGAAAATCACAAAATTACGAGATCTCTGCTTTTTTTAATTTTCTTTCATCACATAATATACAGGGTGTTTCTAAAACAATGTTGGAGATTTTAAGGGCGTATTCTAGAGGTTAAAATAAGAAAAAGTTCATATAAACGGATCCAAAAATGCTTTTCCTCAGAGTTATAGCTCTCTAAAGTTGAGGGAAAAAATGGTCAAAACCACATAAAAATGAAGCTTATTAATTATTACGCTGTGCAAAACTTTAACGTTCTATGAAAAAGTCTCCGAGAGTTACAATACATTTTTCGATTTTTTTCCCTCAACTTTAGGGGGCTATAACTTGGAGAAAAAGCATTTTTGGACTCATGTTTATAGCTTTTTTTCTTATTTTAATCCCTAGAATACGCCCTTAAAATCTCCGACATAGTTTTAGAAACACTCTGTATAATCATAAAGTTTACATTTCCCGAATTTTTCATTACACAATTATCTCAAAAAGACAATCTTATAAGCTCTCACATAAATTGCATAAAATATTTTATTCCGTATCAAATGAAATAATCCTGTCGCATATATTTATCCTATGCTTTATCTTCCAAAAGCATGAGAAGACCGATAATCCCGTTGAAATTATTAGTCTTTTGCTACTGTATCGAGCATTACTCTCTTGCTATTGTAACAATGCCGTTTGAGGCTGACGAAAACACACCGGAATAATTAAAAAGAAAGGAAAAAGGAAAGCGCGAAAAAACGCGGTGGCATCGTGACGGAGATGTGTTTCGACAAGCGAAATATCGCGCGACGCGAAGGTTTATTATCGCGAGAAGAGAGCGCGAAATGATTTCGCGTTATTTATATCCGCGCGTAAACGCTGTTACCCGCGAATAAATCTTCGAGCAACGGCATTAAAACGCGGATTCTCACCGCCGGAGGGAAAATATGCGCGAAACGTGTTTATACGGCGCTGTTCCGCGCTGTCAAATATTTATATGCTGTGCTTTATCTTCAAAGGATTCGTCCGCTATGTAGCCCGGGAATGCTGATAAACGCGTATCGATCGCGAGAGAGAGAGAGAGAGAGAGAGAGAGAGAGAAAGGGAGAGAAAGAGAGAGGCAGTAGGTCTGATTATTTCTGCTTAGCGAGGAACTCGGTAAACATCGGCAGTGCTGGAGAAAGAGAAGCTATATAGCTCGTCGCGAAATCGTTTGTAGTGCGAAATTCATCGACTCGTCCGAAGTAAACTCTCCCAAATACCATTTGTCGTGGTTCGATTAAAACCTCAATAGCTCTACTCAAAGTGAAATAGAAATGCCTGTTGAAGACCTAACAATTGCATTCAGGTGCTACACTTAACACTACATGGTTTGAATCTAAGTTTCTTATTGTTGTTTATAGATAGTATGTATCAGCTGACGAATTTAACTTTCAACGGCCACGATAAATATTTAGTTAGATAAATCAATTAAATCAGCGAGACAAAATGTTAGTACACAAAATTAGTAACTATTAAAAATTACGAAAAATTGTATCTATAAAATATATTGAAAAGAATTTTATTTAAATTTTTTAAATACTCACATTGATTTTCTTAATAATAAATATTCTTCACATTAATTTTCTTAATTAATAAATATTCTAATAGAATCTTTAAAATAAACTGTGCAAGTATTATAAAAATAAATTATTCTTTCCTCTGGCGTGTTTGAAAAATTAAAATCAAAATCAGCAAGGATACAATAAAAGATAAAATTTACGATACTAATGTTCAAAGAAATCGTTTAGAGCTTTAAATAATAACAAATTAAACCTTATAACTTGCCTAGTAAATTGTTCTGTTTTTTGTCCGATATACACACAATTGATATATATTTAAAATATTAAATAAATAAATTTAAATCTTTAAAATGTTAAATAAATAAATTTTAAATGTTAAATAAAAAAATTTTAAATAATAAACACACACACACAAACAATAATATTTTTTTTCAGTATAAAAGATGAAATTGTGTACTTAATAAATTTCCTTAACATGATTAATATTATGATTAATATTAATTTCATGTCATTGTTGAATATGAATTGTAGCAAAATATTGGTCAAATAGAATTATTAAGCTAATGAAAAGCGAAATAAAAGCTTTGCATCATGATTACTATACCCCAAGAAGCTTAAGCCATCAATTCAGTAATGTTATCTCTTTGATATTTTTCGATACAAAAATAAATATATTAAATATTTTAAATTTTAATCGTTTTATAGGAGTTTAATATAATTAAATAATACAAGAGACAAGTAAAGTTTAAGTAATGTTATATAGCATTCAACTTAATATGAGTATTCCCAGTTGACATTATCGACATTCAATCATCGAAGCTCCGTTAATCTGACATTTCCCATTTCGAGAAATCAAATTCAAATGTATGGCATAATTAAGTATTGTTACGTATTAAGTATTATTTTAAACTAACGTTATTAATCTACGTCATTATTCCAATTATTACTTTTATAAATTAGCAAGAAATTGATATTGAAAATGAAGATGACGAATTGACCATTATGTTGTGATATCCTCATTTTCCAAAATGTATCAAATCTAACAAAATGTTAAATGTCAGCATTTCCACTCTTCTCTCTTAATATCATTTCACTGCAAATTATTAATAAATTTACGATTAAAATAAAAAATTAGCACTAAATTAGTATTTAATTTGATTATACATCCGAATTTGATTTCTCATGGTGGAGATGATGGATCAACAGAGCCGATCATCGGAAACAATACTGTATCCAGCAATACAGTATCCGGCCTGAATCGGGAATCGTTTATGATAATCTCTTGAGAACACGCGATGGAACATAATTCTAGGATAAAGCCCAAAATAATTGAGACGGTCATTCCATTGTAAAGGGAACAGACACGCCTCATTCACGAATGCGCCGAGAGAAATCAATAGCCGACGTCTCCGCGACAATGTCCGAACGTAGGCAAGTTATGACGCGCGCGCGCTACCAAGGCGACTGTGAATTTAGAAATTGGGGCAGCGACTATGATTAATCGAAAACTTGTAGCGCTTACGCTCGCGCGCCTGTCCTGATTGAAACGTAACGGTCGCCTACACAGCTTAGGGATGCGTGAGATTATCAATGTTTAGGTCAGGCATTAGCAACAATGTTGATGAAACGCAATAGGAGAAGATGAGATACAGGAGTCGCAAGCAAAGCTATTCGAATCATTCAATATTGTTCAGATGCACTTAAACTCGATAAATAAAATTAAATCATTATATATATATATATTTTTTTTTTATATGTATGAGAGATACATGTTGAGTTTTTAACATATCATTAAATCTTTATTTAAATTTAAAATGATTTAAACTACTTAATCTCTCTAAATATTTTAAATCAAGTGTGTGTATTTAATTTAAACTTTTCAAATTTTAAGAAAAAACTTACGATTATTTCAATAAACATCGAAAAAATAATTAAATATTATTACGTATTAAAAGAATGCATATAAAAATTTCATATTTATCCTCATTGTCTCTGTGAAGCGCCTGAATAATTTAAATCCAAGTATATAAAATCATTAATTAAAAAGATTCTAAGAGATTAAATTTCGAGATTTTCTATAATGGAGTCAAATGCATCCTCACTGCAGATATCACATACAATTTTCATAAAGTTTTGAATAGTGTATATATGTGCACGATTGTTCTGTCGCTTTCTTTTTTAATTTCTTATAAGCACTCACTTCTTGAATTTATTATAAAAGTACGAAATCAAAGGTCAAGAAAATCAAAATTTCTTTCACTTTCATTAATATTAAATGAGATTTATCATTTATCTCGTTTATCTATGTCAAAAGTTTCAAAATTGATAATAAAATTAATTAAATATCATTTCGTTTAAAAAACAATATTCATAATTTGAAAAATTTATTTTAAGAAACATCCGTGAATTATATGCACATTTATTGTTATTTGTATAGAAGAATATACCTCATCTATTATATATTTTTGATAAAATAAGTGTGTAAACTACATAAATTAGTAAGTGATAGGATTAATTTCGTTGGGAGTCTAATTTGTATACTGACCTCTTAATCTGTTTTAATAATAAAATATCTTAACAATAAAAAAAATCTTTGTAATTAGAATAGTGTTATATACACATTAAGTATCAACAATTTATCAATGCTTACATTATTAATTTGCATTACAATACTATAGATTTTTGCAAGAAATAATTTATGTAGCTATATAATATTCTGTTGCATACAGCAATAAAATATTTGAAGGCAATATTTAATTTAAATTTCAAAAGCATTATAAAAATATTTCTACGATGTTTCAAATAAACGAATTATTGTTCATCAAACGAACTATTGTGCATATGTATCTCGTTTGATATTCTTTATCGAATATATAAATAATTGCGATACGAGTAAATGGATGCACTAATAAATCCATTACCACACATAACACGATCGTGTCATCGATTGCGCCACTCGTTAACTATTTCTTTTAACAGGACACGTCGCCGATGATGAAACTGCGTTTCGAAACGCACGTCAAAGCGTGATGCAATGTGACGTAAAGCTAGGTATCGTCGGTCGCACGAATGCGTTGCAAAAGTTATGTAGCACGATCGACATGGCGACTATTGCGGAAATATGTTCCTGAAAATTTCATTCAACGTGTCGCCGCGGCAATCGTGCACGTGACCAACGTTTTGAAAAATTCGCATCTTACCTTTCTTGATGTTTCGCACCGCGCCCGACACCACCACATCTTCCTGGAACAAACAAATAAGTGTTTCGTAAGAGAAAAGTTGGCAATAGTCATTTCTTTCTGGTGAGAAGAAATCTTTGTCTTGTAAGTTCATTTAAGATAGGTAACTTTGTTTCTTGTTTTCGCTCTCGACTTTTCTATCTATTTAACACATACGCGTGCGTATGTGTGCATGTGTGTGTGTATTTGTAACAGTTCTTACAAATTACATTATAATCACAAAAATTAAATCTTTAAGAGTATTAAAAATTAATATAAAATTAACGAGGACTCAATCACACTGTGACAATCATTGTACATTTCATTAGGAATATATTGCGGCAATACAGTAAATATAATTTTAGAAATTGTTTTAGAAATATATGTATTGAAATAATACTAGCAATATAGGAAAAAAAGTAATATACATTTAGAAATACTTTTTAATTTTGTGGCAATACTGGCAATATTGACAATAAAATAATAATAGAAACACCAACAATAAAAAAGCAATACAATGGCAACGTTAACAATAAAATGTATTGTATTGTCAAAAATGACAATCATGTACATTTTTTGAGTAGTGGTTGACCTCTCGAGAATTAATAATATTTTAGAGTTATAGAAATGCAATTTTTCTGAATAAAATTTACAGAATATAAACTTCGATAATATTATCAATTACTATTAAAACCAAGTCTTATAATTAAAAATTCTTAACTTTTTTCGTCATTTTTAAAGATTAACGATATATTTCAGTTTCACATAAGTTCTCTTATATGAATATGTATATAATCTTGTAAAAGGACCAACTTGTGCCGGACTGATTAGATTTATTCATCGAATATATTCTCTCTTTTTCGGTAACACGATATGAATGCAGATTTTATCAGCGAGTTACCCCATCGATGCTTTTATATAGCATTGCCTGACTGACGCGGATTCATCGCATACATGCTCAAAAAAACGAATAATCCTAAAAATCCATTTTTTTAAAACGCTGTCAACTTGCATTAATTTTCATTAAAAAAAGAAAAAATTGCCAAGAAAAAATGATGCATTAATTTATATTAATAAAATTCCAATTATTCTATCTAGTAACAAAATTTGGGATTTTATCCAATTATAAATATTAATTAAAAAATGATAAAATTTCCATCAAATTCAACAAAGAATTATATGTGATGATTTTGTGCGTATGGATTTTTTAGGATATTCTGCAATATGCGTTAACAAGAGACTAGAATTCCTCCGAAATTCAACGTGAAACGTTTGTGCTTTATCACGCGAATAATTAAATAGATAAATTAGAGATTACAACAGGGCGCTCCTCTAAATTTCACCGCATTGCGTAGGCGTTTACCAGATATCGGAAATGTGCGCAATCGTTTTCGGCAAGAGCGAACTACATTGATTCCAGTAGATTATCACATTTATGCGCGTTTTGTGGTCATCGGCAGGATGGTCATCCTCGTTATTCATCTATTTATCGTATTGCTGTCGATTGAAACATTATCATGACTATGCAATGATACGATACATTCGTTTAACAACGATGATATTGTCAAGATTACGATCACCGAAATAAATTATCTTATCACCGCTCATATATGTAAAACACAAAATAGAAAAAATCAACGAAATTTTTAATACATAATTAATATAATTTCCCGCGTCAAATATTACTATATCTCAAATTACTAAACATTACTAGCATATTTCAAATAAATCATACATATTAATATCGTTATAATTTTTCACGCTCTAGATAAATATATTTTTAAAAATTTTGCAAAAAATATTACTGTATAAAATATATTTAATGATATACATATATAAAAATGATAGAAATTTGAAACAGAAAAGAGTACATAACGTATAGCTAATTTTCATTCGATATATGAAATTTATTTCATCCGATATATGAAATTTATTTCATTTTTATTAATTTATACTTAAATGTTTCATGGCAATAAAATATTTTATTACATGCGTCACGACACAATTATATATATACATTTAAAATTAATACATATGCGCACTCTAATTTAGATAAAACGTAGATTATTGAAGCGTAGTAGATTTAGAATATTGGTTAATGTGTGTGGCAAAAGTTCGTACTAAAAATGATAAACCCGCTTTTATACGCGCTACAAGAGCAACTACTATGACGTGTATACGATGAATGAGCAAATACCTGAGTCTCTCTCGCGATGAAGGGATAAATTCACTTAAAACCTCATCCATTATACCACTTTCTTCCACGAGCACTCGTGTTTTCCGCACAGTTATTTAAAAACCGGAAATCCATTTCGCTCTGCAGTTCACCCCATATTTCTACACGCGGTTTCGCAATAATCTCCGCAGTTTCGCAAGCTGTACCAGCGGACTCATTATTTTTCCTCTGTGGAAGAGAAGACGCAATATACTTTAGGATGGATACACGTTTCGACATTTTTATGTTCCTCTGCGCAAGAGAAGAAGTCGAATTCTACTAAAGGAACAATAATTATGTTGCCGTTCGTTCAGTTTATCAATTTAACAGAATTTAAACTTCCTTATACGTTATATAAAGAAACGATTTATATACATGTCGGTGTCTCGAAATGAGTGTAACATTTTAAATTTAAGTAAGATGCAGTCGAGAACAATTATACGAAATTCTCAAAAGTGTACATTCAAAATTAAAGCATATTAAAATGTATTAAATTATAATATGAACCAACATTTAAATATTAAGTGTGAAACGTAAATTAAATATTGTTTGATCATGAATCTTTAAATACATATGTCAAATATTTTGCTTTTAATCAAACACGATTTTAAAATAAAATTTAGTTTCTCAAAAAAAAATTAATTTAATTATTAATTTCTTCCTACATTTCAACATAGAATCGATCGCAGAAAAGTGATTTAGCTATCGTGCCGCTATGAAAAAAATTGAATATGAAACAATTCAAGCACTTCACTTATTCTTATCATTGTTTGTGTTTTATTCTATGAGAGATATAGAGCAACGCACGTTCATACATCAACAAGGAAGAAGATTTATTCCCCATTTTATTTTATTCCCCAAAGACTAGCGTTAATTTTACAGAGCAACTTACAACCTGTTATGCATCTCATGTTTGAAAATTATGAAAATGTAAATGAAAATTTCGAAAAAAATGTATTTTAACATATATAATTTATACATATTTTGCAAGAAATTCTTCGATTTTTTCTTATTTTCCACAAAATTCTCTTTTTTGAATAATAAATGTTCGAGATAAAATTGCAAGGGTTTTTCATGATAGAAAATGTTATGTATACTTTATCTACGTCTATGAGCAAACACTGATACTATTAAGTTCAACGTGCGCCAATTACATAACGTAGCGGCAATAATTATTGCCAGAGACGCATTACCGAGGAAGTAATGGCCAGAGGCAATATGTCATTTGGTCAATATTTATTCTTGATGTATATGATGGTCACTTCCATTACGAGTGCGTTTGTATCGATCTGCAATACTTGTTAAATAATGTTTGTACGTTACGTAAACACCTTTTATCTCTAACAACAGTAAAAAAAAATAGCAAAAATCAACAGAGAATCAAACGATAATTCTAACTGACTTGAATTAATATCTCATCAGATAAGTTCCAATAATATTCATAATGGTATATAACAAGGATTTTGAGGATTCAATCACTGAAATAAAAATGTTTTGTGATCCAAAAACAATTATTTATATATTTGAAAAAATATTTTCTTAATTTTTTCTTTGTTATTATTATTATTATTAAAAATATTTTAGCTTTAAAAAATTAATATAAATCGTGATAAATCGACATCAATCTTATTAAACATTAAAAACGAAATGTATAAGCGAAATAAAATAATTTCTTATTACAATTAATATATTTTAATCCACATACTATCTATAAATAAATAAATTATTTTTACTACCTATAAAAAATAAATTAATTTTATAATCTTTCAAAGAGAAACATGTAATAAAAAATATCAATAGATGAGAGAATGCGATCAAGTTTCTCCAAGTAATATATAAGTATCCTAGAAGCGGAAGATCCGGCAGCCAGGAAATTTGAAGACGCTACGATCTAACGATAACCAACCAACAGGTCTCCCGTTTTCCTTGACCGCATGCTTGTCCGAAGCTGAGCAACCCTTTATAAATCGCGGTCTGGCAAATGGAACTCCCTGAGAAATGCGTTGGGAACGTCGGTGACCGCGGCCGAAGGGAAGCAGCCTTTGTGTCGCGTGCACCGGCTGACTTGTGTCGTCGATTACTACTCGCCTATCTCAATGCTCTATTATTCATAAGACATTTCCAGTAAGTTACTTTAGTATTAAAGTTCGTTCAACTGTAAATTCCATGTACGTATTTTTTAATATTTTTTTTTATATTTATTGATATTTGCAATTGTTAAAAATATCGCTTGCGATTATTACGACAATATTAAATGGATACGATTCATTGGATAATCAATCATGTTGTAATGACTGTTTTTCGAAGATTTCTAAACATCAATTGATTTATAAATTTTTCAATATTTATATATTTTACCTTTCCTTATTTTTTACAAAATTTTTAAATTATGTGTATAAAGAGGAAATATACAAAGCGATCTTGCAATTTACTGCTTTGAAACGTATCATCCTTTTTCCTCCCTATTTTATTCCTTTCACCGTAATTTGCGTGTACTGCATTTCTCAAGATGTCTCGCGCAGCTTTAATAAATTTTATGCAAATAACGATTTAAAGAAGTCCGATAAGCAGATATCGCAGTTCCTTTTATTCTGCTCAATCCAACTTGTTCATGAACCATCGACAGTTTATACCAACGAAAGCTTGACGTAAGTATTTGGCGCACCTATAGCGAGGTACACTGCGAGATGTGTTTCCGAGGTGCGGAAAAAGAAATTCGCTTCGATCTTCGCGCAACCGCGCCCCGAAATCGTTTTTCCTTTGTCATTTTTCCATTGCTCCGGATCGTAAAACGAGAACGAGCTCTCTCG